CTCGTTGCCCCCCCCCCCCTAAGTCCGTATCTAGTGATAAAGTAGGTTTATTTTAAAGTTTGAAAAGGTTTTTTTTGACAGTGAAAAGGCAGAAATAAAAAAATATATGTGTTTTATCATATTTCTGCGTAAAAAACTATTAATGTCAAATACGTCCATGTCCAATTCCCTTTAGCTTTGTTTGAAAAAATATTTTAAAATTTGATCATGTTTTCAACTATGGTTTCTCCGTAAAAAGTGCCTGACTGATTTCATGTAATAAATTAAATTAAAAATGCGGCAAAAGTAAATATATTTTAAACCAAAGTTTCACTTCCCAAAATTCCAGCTACCCCTTTTGTGCTATAATATACTGAGAAATAAATGTTGTGTATTTCTCATATTAAAGTTTGCATTATTTTAAAGCAACATTAGTTTAAATATGTTCAATTTAGAACCTTTTTATTCATTATTTACAGGGTTTTCTTTAAATTGAAACAAAGTAAAGAAATATGTTTTTGGAAGTAAACATTTAGAAACTTCATGATTTAAAATATTTTTTACTTTTTTTTACTTCATAATTCTGTGCACGTTGAAATGCAGTAAAGTAAACAAAATTACAATTTATACTTTCATACAAGAGAAAAGGTTTAATAGTTTGGGTACAGTGGAACACATAAAACTGTGGAACAGAACTACGATATGTTTATTTTAAGCAAATATATTTATGAATGAACATTTTCTAATTAATTTAATTTTGGCTCTCCACATTACCAGAGATAAAGAATAATTTTGTTAGATATTAATTACTTGAATAAAATCAAGATGTTCAAATCTTAACATAATTTTTATTGTTCTGAAATTTAAACAATTTTTTTATGAAACTTTAAAGTTTGCGTCGATCTGACAATACTGTATATTTTTCTACTTTACAAGAGCAGAATAGAGCCGGAGGACTAAAACTTTTATTAGAAAAACTTTACTACTTAAAGGGACTGTACAGGCGTTAATTAAAGTAACTCTCCATTTATAGAGTGTGGTGTCCATGGCCCCCTATATTAAACCTTTAACTGATTAAGGATGAATTACTTTTTCTTTTTCATATCTACAAAAACGCATGCAATTGTTGTACACTTTGGTTGCAAAATGTTTATAGTTTGGAATTATTGATATTTAATTTATAGAAATCGCCTTGGACACAACATATTCTGGAATTTCGAAGAATATGTATAAATAACATTAGCTACTTTGAGTTCACATTGTACATTTGTGCACACTCCAGTTTTACTGCAATTTAAATATTTGGGCAAGATAAAAACATGGAGTTCTCTACACTTAGTGTTTTATCAAAGATGTAAAGGCTAGCCCTGTAAACCGGGAATTCCACTCTTTGTATGAAGGGCTCAACAATATTACGCTTACAGTCCCTTTAAAGGAATTGTCAACAAATGGCTATTAGATTAAAAAGTGCATTTAATGGGCAAATATACAGTATCTGTTAAACCCTTATCTGAAATGAAGGGATATGTTAGAAAGGAACTGAGTATTTGTCTCAGACTATAATTTCTAATCCCTTTATCTCTTCAACCTGATTCTTTTGAAAATGAAATTTCAAATGTTTACTTTAACATCCTATTGTAAAGTAATTAGAGTGTGTAGCAATTGACGATTTCGTGAAACCTTTCTTTAATCTAAATAAGTTGTGATGTAATCGTTACTAGTAGATCTTACTTAAAAAATTCCATTTTTTTTTTACATATATACCCTCTATGGTACGTTGAGTTGATTAAGATAATTGTAAGATATTGGCATCCATGGAAGCTGGAAATATGTTAATCTAAAGCTTTGCCTGGAGTTTTCCCAACCAAAGTCAACATACCCAATTTGGCACTTATAAACCACGCAAAAAACATTCCCCAAACAAAGTTTGCGGCAAATCGGTCCAGAGGTATCACGAGTTATGATTGCACATCCAAACAAACAGACAAATATATATTACTACTTCATAAATTATAAATTATGTTTTTTTGTTGTCTGAAAACTTTGGGAATAATTATCTCAAAACATGAGAAAGATGATGACGTCACATTTTTATTAAGCAATGATATATCCTTACAAATATTCTTTTTTTTTTGTCACAGCATTTCTTTCAGATTTGGGCAAAGTTTTTTAAAAGGATACTAGGTTTTTTTTGTAGATTCTTATACTGATTTTATTAAATAAAAATCTTTTTTTCTATTACAGAAGTTAACAGCAAAAACGTACTAAATCTTTGTTTTTTTCTTCTGTTATTTCTTTATATATATATAGTTATAATTGAAAAATTCATGAAAACTAACTTATCATAAATGATTACTTACCGTGTGATTAAACAATAAAAGTACAGTGTACTGTACACCATATCATAACTTTAACGAGACATGCTTAAGTGTTCAAAAGTTATAATGCAAGGAAAGTTATTTCATAGGTGTGCGCATCTTTTGTACTGCAGTGTACTGTCTCTGGGCGGTAATGTAAGCACAAGACTGATGTCGAAGCCTGATATGGGATCCATCTTTTACATGAAAAATCAATGAAGTATTCTGGTCATAGGAAACTATTCATGTGAATTATCAAAATTATCAAAATATAATGCTTTTAATCTCCTCGGATACTAAACCAACACTGATGCATCTATTCTTGTTTACAAATTCCGCCCTGAGAGGCTGAGAGAACTGGTTTCAATATGTACGCAGAGTATTCGCAACTGAAATTACCTTTCCTTGTATTATAACCTTGAGATGTTCTATTTTTCTGTCCTTTTATTATTCTGCTAGGTATTAAATAAACTACCCTCGTATTCCATATAAAAAACAATACGCTTGATTTTAAACGGTTCCCTTTAACACGTTATCTGAAAAATAATCAAGAAGATGTCGTCATTTTTCCTGATTGAAAAGAGATCAATTCTGACAATTTTTTTTTCATTGTATCTGAAGAAAAAAAGGGTTTCCAATTGGAATTCCTTTGCGCAGAATTGCACGCATCTGTTCTCGTATTGTCCGGAAATAGGGTTTCCATTCGCAAAACTTTTGCGGAACGAAACGCAAAATTTTTCTTTCTTTGCGCATCAGTTTTGCGCGAAAAAAACAACAATATGCGCAATCATTCGCAAAAGTCATTTCGCGCAAAATTGCCCTATTCCGCTTTTGCGAAACTCAAGTTTTGCGCAATTCAGCAACTAGATTTTTGCGCAATTCCGCAATTTCGTAAAACTCAAACGGTTGGTGACGACGTATGTGTTTCTTAGAATTCAATTCTGGAAAAATCTTCCTATTGGTCAATTTTACATAATTGACCAATGACAGTTAAGAAGAGTTCAAATCTCACAATTTTCTCGACAATTTTAGTTTTGGACATGCATATTTCCTAAAAGTGGATTCTTCAGGCATTGGTTACTTTCTTCCATTATTCTATATGAGTTCAAAAAGATTTTAGAAATTTGATTAAAAACATTTAAGAATATAATTCATACTTGATTAGGCAAAGCTTTAAAGGGTCACTTGAAATCATTTAATAGGATTAAAATATTGCCAAGTTTCACACTCTCTAATTTCTATTTTATTAATTTTGGTCCCTTAATTTAAACTTTTTGTAACTGGAAGTAACCAATTGAGTGTGGTATAATCGTTATCATTCTCGTATGTTAATATTTTTTTTATGTATGGAATAAATCTTCAGTTTTTAATTCTAAGCTTAGAATATCAATTTTTGACAATTTGACTAAAAAGTTACATTTTGCATAAAATTTGCGGTTTTGCGCAAATTGCGCAAAAAAATTGTGCAAAACTAAAATTTCGTTTCATGCGCTTTTTTCGCAAAAAATATTTCCGGTTTTTCGCAAATTGCGCAAAATAAATAGCGCAAAACCGCGCAAAACTTATTGCGTTCCATGCGCAAAAATAGCGCAAAAGTTCGCAAAAAAAATTTGCGCGAAAATAGCGCAAATTTTGCGCAAAAGATTTAGCCATTTCGTGGAAACCCTATCCGGAAAAGTTCGGAATACCGTGGAATTGGGAGGAAATTACAGGGCTGAAAATAGCGCGCCAGTAAAATCCCCTTGGAAACCCTAAGAATTGAAATCAAATTAACCCTTTAAATAGAATGCGAAAATTTATAAATTTTCGAAAAAATAATGTGGATATCTCATTCATTCCGAATAAGACAAGGCTGATGAAGGAACCGTTGTGATTCGTGCGTGCCACTTTAAACCTATTCCCGCTTGGAGGGGAATCAAATTGATCCCCCCCTCTGTAGTTTTTCTACATAACTCAAAAAGTGTTGGTCAGAGGCTGTTGAAATTTTCTGACTTTTCCTAAATACCGATAGCCCTCCCATGAGGTCTAAAACCGGGCATTGTAAATCTTTGTTTTGAACCACTTTCAGTTGTCAGATTTTGATAATTTTTAGCTTTTTGGAAAGCCTTTGACATAAGAAAACGGATTGCACAAATTTTGCTAAGACATTTTTGGAAATTATTTGCACATTTTTAGTTTTTCTTAATTACAGATCAGGTTATTTAAAATTTTGCAAAATTTTTTGCATATTTAAATGGCATGGTCAAGGGCTTTTCAAAAATTTATATTTAAAAATGTTTGAGAAATATGATGGTCACTTAAATTAACGTCTATATAATAATCCCTTACACCAAACTTTAAAATCATTTTCAGAGTAGAGAATATGTTCAATTCCAAAATGCATTTAATTCGAAAATATTTAAACTTCATGCAATGCAGAACATTTCATTTAGAGTTTAAGACTTACATTTCGCTCATCTGATTCTGCATATTGTTATTACTTTGAAACAATAATTTTTAAAATAAAATGAAATATCAAAAAGATGGTATAGACACTAAATTGCACATGAACAACATTTTTATGAATTTCTAGTTTTTAACACATTTGCTTTTGATATGCTTTAAAACAGGAGGAGTTAAGAGGTCACAAAGTTGTGTCGGCAATTTCGTATAGATTGGACTTTCTCCTTCTGTGTTGTTTGTAATAAACTAATTTTATGGTTAATGCAGTTATATTCGTTTAATATTAATAAATACGTAAAGCTAAAATAATATTCTGAGCTAGGATTTTAAAACATTTTAAGACAAGTAAATCCCGGTTTTACATTCTTCTTTACGCCCCAGTCAAAAAAAATATCTAAATCAAAAGAATTATTCGTTATTTAAGTCAATCTTATTTTTTTGTTACTAGGATTTATTTTTGACACAAGTCTCAATTTAACTAAATTTGGAACATTTACCATTTTGGCGTGCTAAAGTAAAGATCAGATCAATAAAAAAAAATAAGCAAAACAAACAAAGACAACCCAACTTTTTTCATTGCAATAAAAATAAGTAATACAATTCCTTGATAGGAGATCCTTTCTGTAGAGCAATAGCATACGGTTTACGGGATGCAATCCCGGAGTGAACCTTTTAAAAACATTTGGTGAAAGAAATCTTTTTTTAATATTTTTAGCTTATCAAATAAAGATTTGATGTCTAAAATATCTACTTAGAATTAAATTCAAAATTAAGTTCGTTGGATAAAATCGAGGACAATTTACCAAGCAAAGTATTTGTAAAAGATTTTAAACATTCCTAATTTTTTTTGATTTTTTAAAAAGTTTAAAAGTTTCCTAAATTAATGAATATTCTCTTTAAAGAAAATCTATCAAACAACTATTCTTTTAATAGTTCAACTAATATGGTTCTTGGACCTATATCCTATCTAAATTAGATTGGTTCTAGACCTACCTGGATTAGATTACAATAGCCCTGGACCTACCTGGATTAGATTACATTGGTTCTAGACCTAGCTGGGTTAGATTACAGGGGTCCTGGACCTACCTGAATTAGATTACAGGGGTCCTGGACCTACCTGAATTAGATTACAGGGGTCCTTGACCTACCTGGATTAGAGTACAAGGGTCCTGGACCTACCTGGATTAGATTACAGGGTCCTTGACCTACCTGGATTAGAGTACAAGGGTCCTGGACCTACCTGGATTAAATTACAAGGGTCCAGAAGCTGTGCATACTTAATCTCAGTGCTTTCTCCTAATTACTTTAAAGTTATCTGGTTTGTAGTTTATAGCAAACACAAAACTTACATTTTATACCAACACAAATCCTACTTTTCATTCATATTTTAAACCAATTAGCTGGTTAAATATGAGATAAAAGATGTGTTAGACATAAGTAGCTTTACTTAGAGTAGATTATATGGGTTAGTTTTAAACAGAAAAATCATAGTTCTGTTTTGTTTTCTGCTATCATGACTCTTTCAGGAAATTTTCTATAAATGTTTAAAGAAAAAAAATAATAACAGACGACCAAACTTTTCTTTAGTTAAAAAATAGTACGAGTACTGAGACGGCCTCAGTTATCAGAAAGATAAAGAACCTAAAATAAATCAGAAGAAGTTAAGTGTTAAGATAAGTCATGAGAATGATTATAGGTAAATTCCTAGCTAGATAAATATAAAAACTCACCCTCTGCATATTTACTATGATTGTTAAACTGACGAAAAAATCCAAATTTTCTTTTCTTTTTAAGGCATCAGCTTACATTTTGCACTTACAGTTGATACTTTATATGGAAATGGGAATTTGATAAAAATATTTAATTTCATTTGAAATTTAATTTTTTTCTTTCACTTCAAAGCTTTCATCTATTTATTGAGTTTCAACAACTAAAAAAAATAAAATGAAAATAATCAAACTTTGAAATTGTTGTGAATTTTCAGGATGATTTTTTTGTCTCTTTCTTGAGAAATGCAGAAAGTTTTAAGTCTATTGTCACTAATTAGTCAGAAAATATATTTACTTATTTAAGTCTATTGTCACTACGTAGTTAGAAAATATATTTACTTATTTAAGTCAATTGTTACTACGTAGTTAGAAAATGTATTTACTTATTTAAGTTAATTGTTACTACGTAGTTAGAAAATGTTTTTCTTATTTAAGTCTATTGTCACTAAGTTGTTTGAATATTTGTAAATTTTGATGACTTATATACCCTCTTCCCATCATGCAAACCTCACATGGGCATAGAAATAAATATGTAAATATGTAGCTACAATCTTAACAAAGGCAAGTAATAAAAGGTATGTTTCTAAAATTTTAAATATATATTGGTGTCCATATTAAGAAATATAAATTTTATTTTAATACCAAATATTTTTCTTCGTTTTTGTCCCACATGTTTCCCTACTTCAAGTTGAATTAAAATAACAAGGGATGTATATTTCTATATTATTCTAATTTATATTCTATTTCAAGTCACGACACATCAAAGTGAATTGCACGCTAGATTGAAATCATGTCCTTTTACGAAAGAGCAATTGAGAAGAGCAAAAGTTATCTAAATTTAAGTTTTGGGATTAATAAATTTGCTAATCTCATACCTAAAACCTAAACATAATGATTTTAGAGGTCACATAATGAAGTCTTTTATTAATGTCCCTTAGTAGTTAGTTTTGACCGTCTCCATCTATCTAGTGGAGGCTGGGTAAACTCAGACATATTTTTACAGTTTTTTCCCAATTTTTTCTGAGGAAATTATTGACCATATTTTTTTCTACAGTGGGATCCACAAAACTTTTGACTAAAAAGACGACATTTACACAATCTTATGTGTATTTGATTAGGTTAAAAATCACATAGTTTTACCAGTAGCTTATCAAGTAAAATGAGATGTGTACAATCCACTATTTCTGTGTTTCATGTTCCTTGGACAATTCAAAATCATAACTCGAGTCAACCAGTTGTCTTCCTAGTCCAGAGTTTTATTTAATTGTAATTCTACGCCATTCATGAAATCATTTTACAGCAACAATACATTTAGGGTCTTTTGTAAACTAGATTGTGTTGCAAAGTCAGGGTGAAAATATCTATATTAGGATATAAGTTAAAACTGACAATTCTAGAAAGTGTTGAGTATTAGATTGTGCACAAAACACCTCAAGACAGTTTTGCGATCAAGGTTCATTGTTTATATCTGAGGGAATTAACCCTATAACAATAAGGGGGGGGGGAGGGTCCACCCTCCCCGTGTTTGATTTTATAAAAAAAAAATATAAAAACGGCTAATATTAGAACGCTAAAGCTTCTTCATTTTTTAACTTCATAGTTGTGAAAAAATTTTGCTAAACAATTTTGTTATGCATAGGGTAGGGTGGAGGACAGTCGAATGTCGGGTTGGCGTTTCAAAATATCAAAAGCGGTTAAAACTTTTTATCAAGTAAGCAACAGGTAGGGTTTCCAGCGAAAACTTTCGTTCGCATTTCGCAAACTTTTTGCATTTTTTTGCGAAAATGAATAAAGCGAAAAATGCAAACCTTGTAAACTTTTCACAATATATTTTTCTCGCGAAAATGGGAACATTTTGCGAAAATATTTTCGTGAAAAAAAATATTCCACGAATTCCTTAAGTGTTGTAGCTGCAACAAAACGTGTGGAATTCTCTGCTTTGAGAGCTCTACATTTTAAGTTTTATTATTCTTTATTTTGATATATGTTTAATGATGAGAATTTGCAGATTTCTCCAGCTGTCTTTCTGAGATTCTGTCTGTCCACGTACGTTTACCCACCAGTTAGCCATGAGCCAGCCAAGTAAGAATCTTTTTAATGGACCGTATTTCTCTGCAAAATTTATGTGCTTTTTTTTGCGAAATTTCGCATGTATTTTAAAAGCCTTTAAAAAAATGGATGTAATAACATGTGTCACATATGTTAATATTTGTCAAAAGTTAAAAATATTTATTTTTGAACATTTTTCCGAGGTACTTTTTTAACTTTTTAAAAATCTTCCCTGGCACCCTAACCATTAACCCTATTCCTGCTGGTAGTTTTTTTTACATAACTCAAAAAGTATTGGTCTGAGGCTGTTGAAATTTTCTGACTTTTCCTACATACCCAAAGCCCTCCCTTTAGGCCTAAAACCGAGCTTTAATACTAACTGCCTGAGTCTTCAGGCACACTGCCTGAATGTCTGCTTTTTCCTGTAACAAACTAAATCTTTGTTTTGACCCACTTCCACTTGTCAGATTTTGATAAAATTTAGCTTTTTGGAAAGCCTTTGACATAAGGAAACGAACTGCACAAGTTTTGCGAAAAAAATTGCAAATTTTTTGCAAACAAAGGAAATTTGCACATTTTTAGTTTTTCTTGATTAAAAATCAGGTTATTTAAAATTTTGCAAAATTTTTTGCATATTTGAAATGGCATGGTCAAGGGCTTTTCAAAAATGAATAATTTTTCATTTTTTGGACAATTTTTTTTTGGCAAACATTTTTACTATATAACTGGATTTTGCGATAAAAAAATTCAATTTTTGCAAATATGCAAATTTTTTTTCAGATTCTAAAAGTAGAGCACAAGAGCTTTCCAATGATGTATCAATTGTCATATCCTGGTTTTCAAGTACCCCAGCAGAGATAGGGTTAAAGATAGAGGAAAGTTGAACTATTACATGTATCACACTTCCCTATCTTATTGATCTAAGGCACCCCCAAATCCTTATCAGACGAAAATAGCCCAATAGGGACAGGGTTAAGAAATAACCTGCAAAGTTCCATTTCTCAATGCGCAAAACCCCGAACTTTTGATTTTATTTTATTTAAGGCAACGAGTTTAAAAATGAACCATGTTAGAATTTTGTAAAGCTCCTCCCCTGGTTCATCAAGTTCGCAAGGTTAAACAATGATTACCTAGGAATGCAAAACCCTCTGAGGAGGATGGAGAGGCCCGGACTCTGCAAATATTTAGAATTTACAAACAAATATAAATATATTCAAATATATACCTATTTATATATATGCATGTATATATAAACCTCAGATTGCAGAATATCTAGCTTCATGCATTTTACTGGAGTATAAACTCAATTTAAGATTAGAAAATGGAGGCCTAGGTGGACATTTGAGATTTATTTTGTAAATTTCCCGCCAAAACATAGATACATTAAGTTTGATATATTTTATGCCGAGAACCTGAACCTGATTAACATTTAGATGAAGACTCCTAAATCTTAACTTAGGTGAGTCAAATTGTTTGGAACAAAACTTATGAAAGATTTGTCCCGTGCACATCGCTTTTTACCCGTTCAACCATGCACTTATTAGGATTTAAAAACAGACGACATTCAAAAGCTTCTGTGAGTTTACCTAGCATAGGCTTCCTCATCAGTGTCAGGGAGTTTGGCTTCCTGCATACTCTGCCAAATCTACAGACAGTAAAACATAAGTCAACTGAGCACAAGTAAGTTTAATTTAGTACAATTGTGTACAAATAAGTACAAATAAATAAAATAACTACAGCTTAGTGTACAGAGTACATACTAATACAATTTATGGGAATATTACATTAAATATTATGTTATTTTACCGAAATATTATTATATCCCACATTTTTAGAATTAATCTTCAAAAGAATTTAGTTGAAAGTGACTGGATGTGTGGGGGGGGGGAGGGTGGAACGCAGAAATTAAATGTGCTTTAGATAAATGACAGTATAGAGGAAACCCTCTGAAAGTTACTAAAATATCTATTTCAGGCGGCTTGAAATTCATCTTGAGAAAAGAATTCGAAGAAAATATATATTTGGATTTTTGAAAAACCTTGTTGAAACATACAATAACTTTGAGAAATTTTTGTAAGGGGAGCTGCGTTGAGTTTGCACATTGTACACAAGCGTACACTCCAGTTTTTTTTTGCCAATTTAACAATATTTTAGAGATAGACACGCGGAGTTTTCTGCTTTCGATGATCAGACAAAAGGCTGCCGATTTAAATAAGGCATTCCCCTTTTTCCACAGAGTGTCACCTTTAAAATACTGGTATGGGATGAATGAATGGATGTTATTAAGTTTAGTCCCATAATGGGATGAATGAATGGATGTTATTAAGTTTAGTCCCATAATAACAAGGATGAATGGATGTTATTAAGTTTAGTCCCATAATAACATGAATGAATGGATGTTATTAAGTTTAGTCCCATAATAACAAACAGAGTGTACATAAATAGTACAGATTCTGTACAGTTTAGCGTACATAAATAGTACAGATTCTCTACAGTTTAGTGTACATAAATAGTATAGTTCCTGTGCACTTGAGTGTACATAATTAGTACAGATCCTGTACAGTAGAGTGTAAATAAATAGTACTGATCTTTCACATAAAAAGTACAGATCCTGTTCAGTAGATAAAGTAGATAGAGTGTACATAATTAGAATAAACCCTAACATTCAAAGTTATTAAGCTAACTTTTTTGAACGCCCCCTTACTTCAAAGGTTGCGGTGCCTGGGAGGTTAACTTAGCAACAAAGTTTTTGTTTTTAACAAATAATAGCATGTGACACGTGCCTTTTTAAAGGCCACATCAATACATTTTTTCTGCAAAGAAAATCCTTTAAATTTCTGTGTTATACAAATCAAGAAATTCTAAGATGATGGTTTCACAAATATGAGTGCAAGGACAAAAAAACAATAGTACGGATGGCTTAACCCCCCCCCCGCCTATTTATGATTAACATTCAGAAAGGCAAGATATGGTGCAAATGTATTTAAACCTGTCCTAAACTAGGAAATCCAATATATTCTATTTTCAACATCAAAAGGTTGAATTAAACTAAATCTTGGCAAACTAGAAGCAAAAGGATAAAGAACATAAAACTTGTTCTAAAGCGCAGCAAATATCGTTTGGCTCGTGTTCAAATGCAAATTTAATTGTTAAAGAGGAATAAAAGATAAAAACATGATTATGTATAGTTTACAATTTAAATGCAACAGTTTTTTAGGTATGGAGGGGGGGGGGTCACACTTTTGGCTTAAGTGCAAGGGTTTTTAAAGTACTGCTTAATGGAACTAAACAAATTTTAAGAGATTAATTCTATATCTTTGCAACCTTACATCATACACCATTCACGCTATGCATCATGTTAGCTCAAATAATATAAAAGGTTTGCACTATAAGATTGCAAAGATATATTGACAAACGCTTTCTTTCATGCATCTGTATATGTCAAACTTAATCTCTCGTGAGGCCCACTTAATAATGTTGGATTTTCATCCTTGAAAACTCAATGGACAGAACTTTTCAAAATTGTATCAATTTAAGAAGTTAAATATCATTTGCAGAATTAATTAAGAGAGAGAAGGAGGTCGATTCAGAATTTAAGATGTCAGTAAGTTGAAAATATTCAACGATCAAAGTTTATATTTCATTCTTACTCGATAAAATAAAAAAAAGAATAAGCATTTGGGGTGAAAAATACTTACTCATAGAATCTTTCTTCAATATAAGCCATTCTTTGGAAATAGACTGCTGCAGAGGAACCGTTTTTAGGAGCATACCTAAATAAAAATATTTTTTATTTAAAATCACAAGAAGCAAAACAGGATCTTATCAAAGTACATTTCTAAAACAAAATACATCTATTTAAGAATTTCTTGGCTAAGAAAGGGAACTTTAATGAAAAATTAAATGCGTCTGAAATAATTAATATTATTTATATTTTTTCTTAAATTTTGTTTATTATATTTACAGTTTTCTTTACAAGTGTGTAGTAATACATTTTCTAGTTTGTAAATCTTGATTTGTAAGTAATCAAGATTAGAAAAAAGAAAATTGAGATGGAATTTTTGATGGGGAGCAAATGAAGGAATACATCTTAATCTCAGTTTGTTCGTAAAATAAGTTTTGGATCAGATTTAATCAATAGCGAGACATGGTTGAACCGCGTAGAAGTGGTTCAAGCACTTTTCTTTTGCTTGAACTGGCCCACAAGAGAAGTGGTTGAACATCATCAACTAGTCTACTTTTCTTAAAGGAACTGGTAAACGTAATGTCAAGTGACCCTCCATGTAAAAATGGCAAGGCCGGATTTACAATGGTATCCTCAATTTGATTTGCATTTTTATACAAATTTCAACCACAATTCTTTCCTGAAGGTGAATAAATCTATGTCTGACGTATTGTAATCTTATTTAAATTGTCTCTCTAAACTCACTTGATTTTGTATTGCTTGGCTAAATCTTCTAAACTTTCAACAGGGGTCTCCAACCTAGATATGGAAGTGTAATCAAGGAAAAGAGATTAAAGAGACTCTTAACGGAATTCTCCATTTATCGAATTTAACAACAATATTCTTAAAAGCTTTTTTCTGATAAAGTTTAAATTATGTATTTATGTTATCATTTTGAAAACTGATTATTTTCCTTTGTAATTACTCTACAAAAGTGACTTGCTTTAGAAACCAAGGAGAATTTATCAAAATGAAACACTTTTCAACCTAGAACATCGACAAACCTAGAAAATTGACGTTTTCAACCTAAACACATCGACGTTTTCAACCTAAAACATCGACGTTTTCAACCTAGAACATCAACGTTTTCAACCTAGAAAATCGACGTTTTCAATCTAGAACATCGAAGTTTTTAACTTACCTAGAACATTGGCGTTTTTAACCTAGAACATCGACGTCGACGTTTTTAACCTAAAACATCGACGTTTTCAACCTAGAACATCAACGTTTTCAACCTAGAACATCGACGTTTTTAACCTAGAACATCGACGATTTCAACCTAGAACATCGACGTTTCCAACCTAGAACATCGACGTTTTTTAACTTACCTAGAAACGGTGAGGAAAGCGGCCAAGTTAGCAGTATATGAAGCAATGATGATGAAACCAAAAAGCCACCAGGTGGCAGCAACTAATCTACCAGACAGATTTTTAGGAGCCTCACCTTAGCAAAAGACGTATTTACTTACGTATTAATTTAATTCCTCTTCAGTATCCTGTAGTGATCATACCAATGCCTATATTGGATATCGGGATCAAGGGTGTAAGATTAAAGATATCCTACTAAAAAGTGTTGACCTCTTATGAAATTACGAAATGAACGAAATCCCTAATGTTTCAATCCATTTATCTTTGAAATTAAATCAGAACTTTTATGATGTAAATCTCAGGATCCAGCATTGATTTACAACTTTGTTTATAATAATACCCACAAAGGATGAGATTGTAAAGATGAACTAAAACTTTTTAAATTTAAATTTGTCGATTCCAAGTTTAATTAAGACAGTTTCCTTTCCTTGAATTTATAGCTTATTCAATTTAATAAGGCAAAATATAAGAAATAAGTTTACAATTGCATGGAATCATAAATATACATATCTACATAGAAACAAAGGAAACAGACAATACAAATTATGTACAATCGTCTCTGAAGTCTCGTCCTTTGTGAATAAACCTGTATCTTTGAAATCTGATGACATTTGATATTTTAAATGGACTGTACAGACATAATTTTTCAGATGACTTTGAACTGTGAACCGTAAACAACCTCTATCTGATCAAGCATGATATATCAATAATATTCTTTTTTAAAGTTTATTATTTTAAATTGTGGTTTCTCTATATCTCTTTATCACTGAGGCTAGAAAAACAACAACGTATTCCTTATTTTGTATCAGATAAAGGTTTAAAAGGTACAGCTGTGAATCGGGCATGGCCTCCTTTTAATGGTAATTGCAATGACAGTTTCTTTTAAGCTTTGAAAATATCCAAGTTTGAAAAGATAGAGGGATTAGAAGATTAGAATTTGTAAACAGTAATCATTAGATTTGAAAATCTATATAATAAAGTTCTTCGATTATATATACAGGGTTACCCACAAATTATGTGACTGTAAAGAGAGGGGAAGAAGGCCAACCACATCAATCTCAGAGAATGTGGTTCGGACTAGAGATTTATGTGGTTGGCCTTCCTCCCCTCGTAAAGAGGACCCTAAACTCTTAAACTATTTTAATTTGTAGATTGATTTTTTGTTTCTTCATTTAATTTAGTATTTTGATGGTTTAATAAATTATTAAGCACAAAAATAAACCAGTTTTGGCATGAACAAGGAAACCTGAATGCAAAAAAACAGACTGCACAAATTCCGTACAAAAGTCTCATCCTTTGTGGGTAACCCTGTATATATGTCAGCTATATTTGGTTAAACGGCTGGAACGAATACATTTTTTTTAGGAAACCATGGGTACTTTGGGGTTAACATAGGTTAAAAATAATTAGATTTTTTAAAATCGTTTTTTAGAATGTCAATTTTTTTTAATTCGAATTTTTAAATTTTTTTTAACATTTCACGGACAACGCCGGACCCTTCAGCTACTTTATTTAAAATATCTTATGCTGCAATAGTAAAATAAAATTATATGAAAATAATTACGCTGGGTTCAATTTACAACTGTGCAGAATCGAAGGGTAGGAAAATAAAACACATGAAACATACAAATACCTCCTCCCTGAGGTGTGAGTGAAGTCATACAGAACCAAAGGCATTCCTTGAGATTGAAATATCTTTTTTCATCATCGTCAATATACTTCTCCATGTTGTTCTGGTAACTGTATGGGGACCATCTAAACATAACAAGAATTTAAGTCAAGCTCTAAATTATAACAGAATCAGGCTTTTAGAGCCTTTAGTGGTTCTTACTTGTCCTATATATTTCAAATTATGATTGTTAAAATTAGGTTATTTTACGGCAACCGATTTTTTTTTCTTGAACAACTTAAAATTTCTAACCTTTGTTTAATTCGTAAACACAAAAAAATTACAACAATGTTAAAATATATATGAAATAACTTTTTAGTCGATACATAAAATGTTAATTTTTATTATGTTTGAGATCTTGATATTGCAAAATATTATCTTTAATTTTAAGTAACTCATGAAATTCTTATTTCCATTTCTGATTTACAGAAATCTGACCTGAGCTGGCAACTTTTGAATGGTGGATATCGGGATTGATGCTTGATCCTCTCTTTTTGCTAATCTCGAGACTAACATAATCTCGAGATTAAAATACAATTGGACTAAAATTAAAAGTTTCCAAAGTGGATATTTGGATTAAGTAGTTGGGATTAAAGGTTATCCATTCTAAAGTTTCCGGCTCTGAGCTGGCAACTTTTTAAATGTTGGATATCGGGATTAATGCTTGATCCACCCTTTTTCTTAATATCGAGATTAAATAATGCTTGTTCTCCTCTTGTTATTAATCTCCAGATTCATTACCCGATCGGGATTAAGGATATCCAATTCTAAAGTTTTCAGCTCTAGGAACTTTAGAACAGGATACCCTTAATACCGCTTGCTTAATCCGAATATTCGATGTGGACATTGATAATTTCCCAGTTGATCCACTCTTTGTCTCTTTTTTAGGATATTTCTACTAATTTCCGATAAATGTTCTCTCAATACATGGCGCGTACATTTTTCTAATTTCCCGGTTTCTGATTTGACTGTCCGGGATTCTGCAAACTCAGTGGTTGAATATTATTTAATTAATCTCAATATCCACAATTCTAAAGTTTTCAGCTATGATTGTATCCACGTATACCAACATTTGTCTGAATTATTAGGAGAAGATTTTACATAAATTAATTGCGATTGTAAATCGCCTCCCCCCCCCCCGCCTGTTTTGGGTTAAAAACAAAATATTTTCAATTGCAGTTTCTCTACAGAAGTGATTTGCGTATTTCTACATTAACGCATAAAAAAATTCAACACTTTTAATAATAGAAAAACTTACAGGCCCTTTAAATGTAATTTTAGCAACATAAAAGGATGTCACATGCTGATAGCTGACATTATAATAAGGATTTTTCATGTATTTTAAGGGTTTTTGTATTAATTGCTCCCCACTCTCTTATAAACTTTGTAACTAATGAAAGTTTTAAAGTAAGATTTCATCCAATTTCTGCGGAAAACTTTCTTCTTAATTTCTTTTTATTTTCCCTCCTGGTAAGAATTACAGTTTTTTCTAATTCTAATTCTATAGATGAAATATTAAACTACGTACTCAGACAATACTAACAGAAAACAAATACAACCGTGGAAATAAAAAAAAATAAAAAAATAAATCGTTTTTTAGCCTATGACACTCCCGGGCACCCATGAGCGTGCACAAATAAATTCAGCCCAATTGGTCCAGCCATTTGGCCGGCTATACGCATCATATATACGAATGTCTTTTTTTCATATAGATATACATTTAATAATACTGTCTAATTTATCAAAAAAAAAGTATACATCCCAAATTTTGAAATTTGGTTAAATATAATTGTAAATAAAAATGTTTTTTTTTTCCTTTTAACAACATCC